GTTGCTAAGTATTCAAATAGACCTTATGTTCCTGAATTCATCCCGAATATTCGTCTCTACCTATGCCGTTCCCGCTCCCTTGAGCTGTTCACGCATTCGGCAAATGTTGGACAATTCTGGCGCGTTTGTTGAATGTTCTCTACGTAAATGTTTATGTCGATGACCGCAGTGCGGTTCCGTCGTAAAGAGCATTGCAGAGACGCTGCCAGCGATCTGTCGCTTCCGATACGGCAAATACCTTCCTCTCTGCACCCCTCCTCGCCTTCTTCTCCCTCCCTCCCTCCCTCCCTCCCTCCCTCCTCTCTCTCTCTCTATCTCTCTCCCTCCCTCCCTCCACCCCTCCCTCTCTCTCTCTCTCTCTCTCTCTCTCTCTCTCTCTCTCTCTCCTTAGCATAGATATAGAAAGATAGCAACAGAGAGATACCTCTATATCTTTCTCTCTCCCCCTCTCCCCTCTCTCCCCTCCGTTATCCCTCTTATCGTCACAGTTTGGCCGAACGACCGGCCGTCCGGCAGTCGTGTCTCGCGCGTCGCTCGGACTTCCATCGTCCCCCCCCCCCCCCCACCAGTCGACGGCGCGTCTCCCTGGGGACAGAATCACCGCTCGCGCCGATCCGCCGCGTCGCTGCTCGATCACTCTCTGGGGTCACCGATGACGTCACCAACAGCTGGCGCACCATGGTGGATTTTCTGTTCTCCTGTCCTCTTTTTTGCAACATCTTTGCTTTATTCTGTTTTGCTCTATTACGCTTTGCTCTGCTCTCCTGTCCTCTCCTGTCCCCTCCTGTCCTCCAGCTCCTCTTATTTCCTCTTTCCGGTCCTTTCTCTTTCTCTCTCACTCTCTCTCTTTCTCTCTCTCTCTCTTCTCTCTCTCTCTCTCTCTCTCCCTCTCTCTCTCTCTCTTTTCTATTCACTATTTTTTATTTTGTCTCCTTTCCCCGGAAGAAATTCAGCGACGTTAACACTGTGTTGCACCTCGTTGCGACTTTTACTTTCAGCATCCGAGAACTCTGATTTAAGTGACGATATTTTTGGCATCTGTTGGTATTTGTGTTACCACCTCTGCGTCGCTGGCTATGCAGACGATTGTCCGTCGACAACAATCGCTGACGCCGCTGACGGTGATCTTAAAGACGACTGGTGGTGATCCAGGGGCGGTGAATTGTCATAGTCCCAGGAGGTGCTTTTCTAGCATCTGGCGAATGGAAACGTCGAATTCTTGCGTAAAAAGCACATTTAAGTACGTTTTCCCAGCAGCATCGCTCTCCTCGCGACTTACGCAAAGCAGTTTGTGTCTCAGACGTAATTTAAGCACCCCTGGAGCACTATCATATGGTGACTTATGAATTCAAGGGGTGCTCGAGCACCCCAAAAACCCCTAATTCTCCACCGCTTTGGTGATCTCTGATATTCCTGTCGATCAGAGACGACTGACTCTCTGAAACGACTGACTCGATCGTCGATCGATGATCGACTCGATCTCTGATATGACGTCGATCATGGACGACTAACAGTTATCTCCATACGGCTGAAGGTGATCTCTGAGACAACTGATGGGGATTGTAGATCTGTGAGACGACTGACGACGATCACGGTGACAACTAACGGTAATCTATGAGATGGCTGACGGCTGAAGGTGATCTCTGATGTTGCTGTCCAGCAGATGCAACTGACGTGATTTCTGAGACGACTGACAGTTATTTCTGATATTGCTGTCGTTCAGAGACGGCTGACGGTGACCTCTGATATCCTGACGATTAGAGACGGCTGACTCGATCTCTGATATGCTGTCGATCAGAGACTACTGAGTACTGACAGTGATTTCTGATATCCTGACGATCAGAGACGGCTGACTCGATCTCTGATATCCTGACGATCAAAGACGATTGACTCGATCTCTGATATTGTGTCAATCAGAGACTACTAACAGTGATTTCTGATATCCTGACGATCAGAGACGATTGACTCGATCTCTGGTATTGCTGTCGTTCAGAGACGGCTGACAGTGATCTTTGAGACGACTGACGGTGATCTCTGATATGCTGACGATCAAAGACGACAAGCTCGCTCTCTGATATTGCTGTCGCTCAGAGACGGCCGACTGACTCGATCTCTGATATCCTGACGATCAGAGACCACTGACGGTGATAGCTGCGTTGCCGCTGACGTGGCGATGCCCGCGTCGTGCCGGCTCGCTCTTGACGCGTGTATTATGCATGCAGCCGTCTGTTGACGATGCGTGGTGTCATATATCTTGGAAGAGCGTCCTCGTGCGACCATATTTACAACACAGGACGTTAAAGAAGAATATTTTTCGAAAGTATAAAACTGGGACAAGAACTCAGCGTTTTGATTATCTAAAAATGATGTATTTTATTGTTAGGGAATGTGGAGGTTGCCGGCAATATTCTTCAATAACTACTAATTACTACAGATTTTTCTAGTCTTGACACGATGAAATACTATTGGCTCTAGCATTCAGTTTGGAAAATGTAGATCGTCCGAGAATCGAGACGTCACGCTTAAAAACAGCTTCTTTTGCAGCCATGCTGCCGCCCACTAGCCTATCCTGGTAAGTGACCCGGAGCTGATCTTTTTGCCTGCACTTTGTGACGTCACTGGTCGTTAATAAAGTGGCGCTGACTCGTCCAGAAGCGATCACTGGGTGTGACTGTGCGCGATCGTGTCAGCGGTGTACGCTGTTTGCCACTCGGCGGTTTGGAGTCCAATAAGGCAGTGGAGGCGCCTCCGGGCAGCGGAGAGTTTCCTCAGGCGCCGCTACCATCTCAATTACACCGACACACCGTGAAGAAAACAACCATTTCAGACCAGCTCCCTCAGCCTGTTAGCCAATACACCGACCAGGCACAGGGCACTAGGCGATTGGATCGTGCGCTGGGGCTCAATTTGGTTTCAAATGTGCGAAAAGCATAAAAATGACTATTGTCTTGCTACCATGACCATTGAGAGATGACAATTATTTTCTTTCAACATAGTTGTGAATTGAACATTTTGAAACCCTTTATTTATCTCACACTACTTGTTTCGACAACATTTTAGGCGTGTGATTTGCATTGGCCTACCGCTTACTTTAAAATGATCGGGCATGGGCATGGAAAAAATGTCACCTTTGCCACAACGCCACGCCTAGATCATAAGGAACTGACTAGATAGCGCGACGAATATGTAATGACACTAAAAAAGGCAACTGATGGACCTTAATTCAGCCCATATTGAATCTGCATATACCTATACCAGGATACTAATCAAGCCCAGGTCACATATCTAGACGACTAAGGGATGTCATTAGACATGCAATCAGTGGCCAGCGTAGACGTCAATGGGCTCAGGTGCCCTGAGTTCATCAACCTCGCATTGAGTCTCATTGGCCGGTGACAAGGACCAATTGCGCTGGCCAGCGTAATGTAATAGCCGTTCGCTCGCTGCCGGATGCACACCGAATCAGAGGAGTTTATTCATGCTGCTGTATGCAGAACAAGTGCGATTGAGTCGTGTAAGATGGGCCTATGATTGCATTACAGCTATGAAAAGTGATTGTAACAAAGGCAGGTAATAAGATGCACTTCTTTTGTAAAAATCGTAGCTGCTAGAATGCCATACTGTTTTTCATTTTGCTTTTGTGTGGGTACTTTGCATCATTCAAACTGTCAGAGCTCAAGTAGGTATCAAGGTGTCATCTGACTGGCAGAGGCTATCAGTTGGTATGAAGGCCTCAAGTCAGGAGTGATTTTGACCCGGCTGTGTTACAATGCACTGTCGATACAAGTTCATGATTTTACCTGCGGAACGAATACCTATCCAAAAAAGCTATTTTTTCGTCTCAAACTACAACATACAAGACAATGTTGTAAGAATGTTTACGTATAAATTTGGATAAATAAAGGAATTAAAAGAGAACGATACCAGAATGCTTGCCGTCAGCAGATCACTGAAACTTACTTGATTTGGAACTATCCACTTCGAATTGGCATAAACGAAAACGCTTGAACTTAGCCGTTTGATTGGAATTGTGTTTTGTTGCTAGATACGGCGCAGGTCTTCGTGAAATTAAAAAAAGTTCGAAATGAGAACGTATGTACTAATGTGATTGCACAGTCTTGATTTACTTGAATGTTCCTAATGATGAATTTGGAAAGCGACGACCGAAGCAAAATTCCTTTGATGTAACAGAACGAGTCTACCGAAAACCGCCGCAATAGATTCACTTTTTAATTGGGTGATCTGACAAAATATACCTAATGTCCCTCCCCGCATGTAACGTTACGTCATGTTTCTAGAGCGTTTGAAATGATGGCCAATAAATTTCAGCTATTGTGCATGACCAGCTCGCACGCAAAGGCTCTCCAATTTCATTATTTAAGAACACAAGATCATTCTATCCTTGCCTGAATGATCAAAATGACTTGAACAGCTGCTTGATGAAATGTTTTACAAGAGGGCTCAGCGGCCGAGACCTGAAAGTGCCAAATGCTGAACAACTCATGTGAATTATGGTCGCGTGCCGATTTTTTATGTATCCTGCCTGCATCCTAGGTAATTCCCCTTACAATTAATTAAAAAATAGATATGCTACACAATAGACTTGTTAAAGGTAGCTCACTTCGCTGCCCGCTGCGATTCAAATATTGCAAAGGTAGGTACGATTGTTACAATTTCTCGTAGGTATACGTCTACGTCTCAATTTCTCGTCACATTTTACCACCCAACGCCTCTCTTCACATACGACACAGTCAGCCCTCAATTCAGTTCGCAGTTAGCACCTTACAACTTTCTCATTCACCCCACCTGCGGCTAGTCTCTTGACAGACATCCAAGGGTCACCCATGGCCGTCCACCCTCCGCGTCACGATCCGAGAAGGTCACGTGACCTTTTCGGGTCACGTGGTACCGCTCAAGGTCACGGTCGCCCGACTCAGCTGACTGTGTGTTGTAGTCAGTGTGCAGTGAGATGGCGGCGGGTGGGGTGACGGGATGCGATTTCGGGTGACGTGATCTGAGACTGCCTAGGGGCAGAGTGAAGAGTGCAGAGTGAGCAAAAGCCGGAAAGAGTGGAGGGTGGGGTGGGTAGAGTCTATGCACCGCTACGGGGACTTTGCCAGAGCTCTGGCGTTTTCGCTATCTTCACGGAGACTGTACGAGTCAAGCCGTAAGCAGAACACATTCGCTGCTCTGCTGGAGCACCTCTACGACAGGCAAGGTCGGTCATGGTTACACATGTAGTATTTCCAGCGGTAATTGTCACACCTTTATCAGAATCATACGTAGAGTCCTTTCGGCCACCGGTGGTCTATTCGAGTCACCGGTTAGACCCTACCGGTGGCGGTGGAGTCAAACCGCATATGAAAGTGGGCGATGACGATTTATGAAGCAAGTAAAATCTTGAGGAACGCGTCTTAGAGTTTTCTGTCTTATACCTACCTATATTATATGGAAATTACTGAAAGCTACTCGCTGACGTTTCTCGGTCTCTCATTGTCATTGGTAAACAGCGTGGTCTACCTGATTTCCACCAGTGAAAACGGAAATCTGCCTATTGATAATATTTTGACATGTGAAACGTTAGCTGAATTAAATTAAAACCTTGAATGAGCTCAAAACTTACCGGACATTTTTAATGCAGCTCTCATCCAAATCCAATCATGATCTTGAACATTTGAAACAGCTCAAGGTTATTTGATTTCGATAATATTAATCCCGCTTTGTGAGACAAGCAGGAGCTTCGCTTTTCTACCCGAAACAAAATCGAAAACCTGTGAGGGGCTACACCAACACTGACTACTTTGGCTAACTAAATAAACTTCACCTGTGTTATGCAACCCTTTGAGAGCTGACAAGAAATTGTCACGGTTTATAGCACTAAGTCATCAACAACGCTCGTTAGGGTAGAATATCATTTGCATTCTAATTAGCTGCGTGAGTGAAAGGTGACTATGCATGGCCTTAATCTCAGGCGTGGAGTTGCCTTGATCTAAATGTCTGCCGCTCGCGCTATTGATGTCTAGACTGGAGATTCACCAGCGTACCCTGATTGCAACGATGCAGCTTTGCGCCTGTCCGCTCTGCCAGCGTTAGCTCTCAAAGTTGGCCGGTGAACATGATCAAAAGGTCAGACAGGTTCACAATTCCATCTGCGAAATTCCAGTGGCAGTTATAGTGATGATACGGTTGACGAAAATGGAACTCGGCGAATGGCAGGTGTTATTGCTAACGCCGATCTTATTTCGAGATCCAGGATAGCATATCAAGAACATAGCAAACCGATCTAAAACAACCTACCTGCTGATGAGCATCAAATGTGAAGGCACCCTGAAACACTACCCAATCAATTCAATGCATTATCTCCACGGGATTCCATAATATTCCTTCGGCGCATTGCTCATGCTGTCACCATTAGCTCGGCTGCCTTCGCCTTCGCCCCTCGCCCCCCCCGTCACCAAGCCTCCTCCCCCCCCCACCATCCCGCCTGTCCTCCTCCCCTCCCTGCAGCATTGCCCGTCGTCGCTGGCCGTAGTCGCCGGCCCGTCTGCCCAGCCATCATGCCGCTGTTGGCAGGCGGTGATTTTCTGCACGGCTGGTCGACGGCAGCTGTTTGTCTCCGTCAGTCTCCATCAGGTTGGAGCCCGTGCGGCGGCGTGCGAGCCGCGCTGAGCTGTTTACCTTCGGCCTGGGAGACGCAGCCACCCCCGCCACCCCCACCCTGCCCCCACCCCCGCCCCCGCCCAGAGGAGCGACCGTGGCAGTCGTCGACGACGCGATGGTCGGTGATGTGCCGCCGATGGTATGGAGGCTTGGTTCTGTGGCGATCGAGGGAGGACGACGGTTGCGGTGGTGGTGAGGTTAGTGTTTACATTCAGGGCCGAGAATCGATGATGCAATGATGGTGTTTGGCGGGTGGATGAGTTGTGAGAAGTATGTGGTGAGATGCGAGCACACATCGCGGTCAGTTCGGTTAGGAAAAAGGTGGCACGAGCGGCGGTGGCGCAACTCTGGACCTAAGAACTGCAGCTGGTGATTGATGGATTGGTAGTCGGACCTGACGTTTGTCTCGGATAGAGCTTTACTCGCTATTCTTGGCATCGAAGAAGATTGAGGGTCGGCCGTTTAGCCTATGGAGTTCTCGTGGGTCGGCCGGCAGGCAGTGTCGGCGCTGTTTTTCGACACAGAATTCGTTTCACAGGACACGCGTCTGGTGGAAGGCGAGGCGATTCTCCAAGTTGACAACGGGCCATTTTTGCCGCTCGCATCACAAATGTGTGACCCGCTCACCTTTCAGGAATTGGAAACGCAAACCGGATAACTTTTGTCGTCATTGGACTCCAGATTTGCATTGGATTTTCGACGGTAATGTTTCGCATACAGTAAATGCATCGATTTCTTCCTTTTTTAGTACGCGATCCTATCAAAGTTTGCGTCGACAGCGATCTTTATTCGCCATATAATGCAATAAACTTTCGCATATGTTTTGCGTCTTCCTTTCAACCCCTGTATGACTATTTTACGTTATATTCCCTAAACGTTCCAGACAAGTCTTTATTTTGGTTCAAAACAATGCCAAGTTCTTCGCAATTTTCACGCCGGATGCCAAACCCCAGCGACCAGCTTCTGGAAAACCACCGTAATTTCTCGATCCAACGTGAAGTGGTCTCCACCTGTGTTCCCTGTTCTCCTGAGCGGTCCTGGCTAGCGTGCAGAGGGGGTGGAGGGGCGGGTAGGAGGGGAGGGGGGCGTGGTCAGCTGTTGGTCGGTCAATATGTCGATGGCAGACGGTCGATCCCGACCTTGGCTGACCGAGATAACGCCAATGGTTTGTTTGAGCTCTTAATGACTTGAGCCAGCGAACGACCTAAGGTTGGATTAGTTTGGGTGGAACAGCCAGCTGTAGGGGTAAAAATACCAAGCTGTCTAGTAAAAATACCAACAGTCTGACAGGACAGAGCCTCAGTTTGAGCGAAGTCTAAATGTCGCATGCAAATGTGGTTTAGTAGGGGGACGTGTTAAATATTTATCAGCCCTTGGCACCCATATGACGGGAATTTGTGATGGACTAATTCACACGCTGCCAAAAACAGATTAGCCAAGAATTGTTGTTATGCGCTCCATTTTTCTGTAATATGACCCTGTACTTTACAGTCTCTTTTGTTGATTTGCAAGGAATGAATATGCTTGGCGAACGGCGTTTCCAATGCCTTTTGAAACTAGTCAATATCAGTCAAGGAATTTCTTCACATGGATTGTCGGTGAAATTTGAGGTCTTGGAGATGCGTCGTAGGTACATCTTCGTTTCGCGTTCCTCGTCTCTCAGAACTTGTATAATTGGAGAGAGGCTATATGACCGGATAACGTCAGCTGCAAATATTTTTCTACATTTAGCTCCGTTGGCCGCGAATAATGTCCCACTCGTAACTGCATGACGGTTGGATATTCTTAGTTCCGTAATAACAAACGCCACTCGACGTCTGCACTATGTTTAGAGCTTTTGCTCATGGGTCCGGAGTGCCCCGAAAGCGCTCGTATTTCCATATCTGATGAGCGGAGATCAAGACGCTAAAATTTTAATTTCATTATTTTTTAACAATGTGTGGCTGAAATAAATTTTGTCTTTTATTCGACTCGGGCTCCGGCATTTCTTTATTTCATATAACTGTGCTCATTTTTTGATATTATGTTTAAGCTTAGAATTCCTTTAGCTCAAGATCGCTTGCCTCCTTTTCACAGCTATACATACAGTGTACACAATGCTTACTAGTATTTAGAGAAACTTACCTCTCCTGATGCTGTCTGAAGGAAGGTATGTTTTATCGCATGTCAACCACACATAATATCTCCATTGAAATAAGTCATTACGATATCTTGTTTTGCAGTTAATTAATATCATCTTGAAAATGGTAAAAGTGAACGGCTGTGCACCGGTACAGACCTCCAATGCAAAACATCATTTCCACCACCCACCACATTGGAAACAACTTTTCTTGGCATCTCTTTCATCTGTAACATCAAACCATTTCGGTTGAAATATTGTGATGGAAGATTCGGTTCCTGTGGAGCTCTATCCGAGTAAACGAAAAACACTTATTATGATATGCTGCGTTACCGATGGGATGCGTCAGGCAGTCTCGGAACGCTTTACTCGCTCCATCGAGCGTTCAAGCCGGATATGCGCATCTGGCCATTCGCGATGGCGATCATGAGAGCTGAGGCGTGTCCTGGATGGAGGACTGCTCAATGTCGCTCCCGTTAGGCAGGACCTACTGTCGATATGCGCGATTGGAGTCGGTCTGCAATGATGGCTGACGACGGCACTGTGCGTCGGATACAAATTGTCTGCCACTCCCATCAGACAGCGCGTCGCTCGCGACGCTACACTCCAGCGCAGTGCGACGTTAAACACGGCCCAGCGGGAGGGGTCATTCTCCCTCAGAAGTGCCGGTCGGACCCCTGCCGGTGACCGGCGGGGTGCGCCGCCGCCGCCGCTGCCGGCGGACTGACCCAGCCGGGAAACATATCACTGCTCCGCTCCGCTCCAGCCGGTGGAGCGCCGCACGCGCCACTGATGTTACGACCAATCGCCGCTACCGACATTCCCTCATGCATGGCTGATGGGTCCAATTGGTGTGCGGGCAGACCGTCGGAGGCGGGTTGGCGCCGGACGGGGTCGCGGGTCGGACCGGTCGGTCGCCGCCGGCGCCACGGTCGATCAGCTATGTTTAGGGACGGTTCAGGGGCGGCTTACGAACGGCCGTGGCGCCGGCTCATGGGTGACGACTTACAGCTGAAAGACCGTATTGAGCCAATGAGCTGCGGCTGTTGCTTTGCTGAGTCGAGCGTCTGAGTGGTGAGATATGTAGCTTACCACGCTTCTCACCACAGCTCTCAGGGTCAAGAGGGCGCTGTTTAGAACGCCGCCGGTACATTCCAGGAATCTGTCACCGTGACAAGTCTCTGTTTGAATGACTGGGCGGGTCGACACGGTCGATGGCTGGTTGAATTACTGCGACATGGTGCACCGGCACCACCTGGGACCTCCACGGTGTCAGGACAGGCGTGACAGCCAGACGGACAGGACAGGACAGCGCAACATTGGCGCTGTCATGCGCAACATCGAGGAGATTTAGGTTCTCCAGCTAATTTGTGGCCTCGAGAGAAGAATGCAGATGAAGAAAACCATTCTTGGAAACAGCCAATAGGAACAATTAACTAACCTAAGACAATCTAGTGTAGTTTACGGTTAGAAGCTAAACGCTTCTGTACCGTGGCACCGAAAAGTTAATATGCAGTTCAGCTATAACTACTTTGACTTGCCGGCCGCTCGGCTGGGGCGCCGGAAGGGCGGTCTGCGCCCCGGCGCCCCGCTCGGGCGGTCGGTGGTCAGGGGCGCTGCCCCTACGAATGCGTGTGTACTGTGTACTGTTTTATTTTCCATTTTCATATGAAGAAGTAGGGCAGCGCGGGCGGGGGCAGGAGGCCCGTCTGGAGCGCCGGGGAGGTATCCCACAGCTCTCCCCGGCCGGGGAGGTATCCCCCAGCTCTCCCCGGGGCCGGGATGGCACTATGTAGCTGGAGTGTCGTCCCGGTCTGGCCAGACGGGCCCAAAAATCATCATCATGTGTTCACTTTTAATAACTATCCTGTCTCTGTTGATGTGATGAATGTGTGTGTATGTGTCAGATGATGTAAATAAACGTTAAAAAAAAACTACTTTGACTTGCATGTTCGGGATAATTTGTTTTCCTCTGTAAGAATTGCCTGGCTTCCACGGAACAAACAGGTCACAGATCTGCCCAGTGCTCATTTGTTTTGCTCTTTACCCTCGATAGTCGATAAGTATAGCATTTGCCTCATCCTAATGAGTCGTTTGACTTCCGCGTAGTGCATGCCATGTTACGCAACGCGGCGACCAATCTGTGCGTATGTGAATCTGTGGGGTTAATTGGATTTTGTTCTCATGCTGCTCACTGCTCAGATACATTCTCCAGATGATAGCCCAAGTATCAGGTGAATATGAATAACTTCTTTTCCATGCGCAGATCCCTGTAAAGGCTAATCGTAAGCCAGTTGGTCCTTATTCAATGGCGTTAGAGTAGAATGCAATAAAGCAGATTCATGGTGACTGTACTGAGATGGATGGCGGCGCTTTGCTCCAAGAGGCGTCCAATCTTGCTCGGACTGTAGGCTGAATCGATATCTTTATGAAATTATAAACACAATTGAAACAAATGTACAAAATACCACTTGTGCTCGATGTGCCCATATGTAACTAAAAGTTAATGGGTCAGCGATATGCATCGAAAAAGAAATTTCAATCATGAATGATTGGCCAAACTAATCATACTGTAAAAAACATATGTTTTAGCTGATAGATTTCGAGCACACCAATGCATATTGAGCTGAGAAAAAAGTAATAAGAGCAAGCTCAGAAATTTTAAAATCAATGAAAGTCTCAATATCGTTTTACGGCACAACTAGATATTAAACAGTTGCAGTTGCCTATTCATTTAGCTCGTCAGTTCCCTACTTAAATCGACTTATTCGTTATGTGATTGTCGTAATCGGGTTTTCCTCGGCGATCTGGCGTCCCCGGGGATCCCGACAGTGACGCCTGTAATTACCCCCTCATCAGCGGCAGTGATAAATGACTAAACACAGCCGTAACTAAGCTGCCGGGATGGCCCCGGAGACTAATTGTCTTATCAAATTATGGAACGGTATTAAATGACGACGGATTACAGAATAATGCGCTGAGTTACGATCACACAATTGCATATCATTCGTAATCAACTAAATAACCAAACGTTTAATCACATCATGAATCATTTAACAATCATGTCATCAAAACATTACACTGATGTCCACTTAACTCAAACGCTGTCCGTACCCTCAACTGTGCATACTTGGCACATTTGGCCGCTTGACCTGACCTCTGTTCCCTGCTGTTTTACCCCCAGATCGGGCGTTCCTGGTGGTGAACAACGTCGAGGACCGCACCGTCATCTATGCCAACGAGGGCTTCAGCAAGATGACCGGCTTCAGTCGAGCAGAGGTGATGCAGCAGGGCGGCCTCTGCCTCTTCCTGCACGGACCTATGACATCACAGGCGGCGGTGAGTGACCGGTCACCTGACCTGGTGGCGATAGTGACTGAATGGTCACGTGACTTGATGGTTGTGAGCAGTGACCTGTCACGTGACCTTGTGGCTGTGACTATAGTGACCTGCCACATGGCATGATAGCTGTGAGCAGAGAGGTGTTCATGAATGAATGTAAATCGAATGGTTAATAATTGATGGTAATTTTTTTAATATACCGCAGGAAGAAGTTTAAATTATCATTACCGAAAGAGTGCATCAAAGACGTGAAAATTAAGCAAACAAAGTCACCTAAAGCGGGCACGAGGATGAGAGTAGGATTCAAGTCAGAACTTCCTAATCTTTCAGAATCTTTTACGTCTGTCTTCGGCGATGCAATTTTGTGGTTGAGGTGGTCAAATACTACAGAACAAATAATGGTCAACACGCGGCTAATGTTGGCAGACGTTAACGGTCTGACTTTTCCTCAGCGGTTTTTCGTCTTCTTGGTCTTGACCTGATGCCATTTTATGTTTCTCTATCGTCTACGTCTGGCAAAGTAAAAACGCATAAATGTTTGCATTTTGTGTATGCACTGTCTCTCATTATTGCATTGTCATTATGAGTTTACTTTTAACCAATCATAAGTTATACTCGTATGTTGTCTTTCCTAAATTCCGTTAGCTAGTTCATACCTGCTACCGGTGGATGCACCCTGACGGTTCGTAGTATAACTTGTGATGGCCCAGAATAAAAACATTTCAGAAAAGTGAAATAGTCATTTTGTAGGATAATTCATTGTACGCTGTACGGTGATTGGCCCTGGGACCGATGCTTATTTCTAAGACAAATTTGTGTAATTATCTATGTTTGTGATATAGGTAATTAACATAGATGTTGAAATACCTGACAAAGCATTGAGTTTGAATCCACGACTCTGGCAATTTACTCTAATGTCAGAAAGTTTGGCTGGTGCAGCCTGAAGAACTGTTATGAAACCTGGAAAAAATATGCAGGAAGTAGTTTCAGAAGGTTGTTTGAAAGTAGAATGCCAAACCATCTGGGTTTTAGATTAAAAACTCGCTGCTAAACTTCCTTCAGATTGCGGTGTCTTTGAAACTCAGTCTTCATTTGCAGTTGTCGTGTTGAGGGAGGTTGTTTGTCTCAGAGCCAAACTTCACAAGACTTATGAGGCTAGGATGCTAGGCTAGGGGCAGGCATTATGGCCCGCGTGATGCATTGTTTTCAGAAGATATGTGAATGCATTATGCACTTTTGCTTGCTTGCATCGATAGCCTTTAATGTAGGTAACAGTTTTATGGACCCTGCCGGAGATTAAAGAGAAAATTCTGATCGACTTAGCAGCCCAAAGAAAGACGGCGTCAAACGCCGACATTTTACGACATATTTACAACCTAGTGTGAAATACCTTCACGCATGATCCCATCACTATACAGTCAGTATATGTATTCCACATAGCTCAGCTGTTACCCTTTAGCTATAAAATTTCAGAACATAAAAAAGCACTAAGAGGGCACTTTATCATATCATCAAACAAGCGTCCTAATGTCGGCCTTAGGAACAATGCACTATGGGGAGATAAGAGCTGCCCTATAGCTTGCATTGCTGTCCCTATCCAATAGCTCAGTTCGTCTAATTGACAGCCATTATGACTGATTTCGCTTGCGGCTGACACGATTCGTCTGCACAGTTGACAACCCGTGGCTTGGGTTCATGCCAAGGTGATTCCACAGCCAACCTTTGGAGATACTCCGGTATCTCAGAAGCGAAGCCCGTTCACTTCCTTTTAAAAAGTCAAACGCAAAGATTGGATTGAGATGTGCCGCATGGGAAACATCGTCACTTTCAAAGATCTAGCTAATCTCGCCTGGAGTAGACCGAAGTTTCTGAGTGCGACCCGTCTGTCGATCTCTTGCACACCGTCCGCGGCCACAAGAGTCGAGTTTGTCGTCACTGAGTGCTGCTTCGGACGGCTCGGTGGCAAAACTCCGCGGCACTCATCAGCCCAGAGTGCTCTCTGGCCGTGAGGGGCGCTCGAGACGAACAGAAGGTAACGCCCCGGGTGATAGCGATAGATGAATCCCGGAACAGGAGCGGTTGAGGTGACACCCGTGGGGTAAGCTGGTGACGCAAGGAATGGAAACGGTTATTTGATTGTGTTTCATTTGCTCAGAAAATGCGTAAGACAAACTATCGGTCGCAATCTACTGAGCTGTACCGCCTTCGCATTCGTATTTACCTTTCCCAGCGAACTTAGCTCAGTGAATGAATTTTTTGAATTTGAGCTGACTTATCCGTTGCGACTTGCGATATTACTGCAGAGCGATCGGGAAGCGGGCGGCGTTCATCCCCGGTGACCTATCCGTGGTTGAATACGGACGGCGGTACGAAACGTGCCTGCAGTAGTGATGAGTGTCAGGCGCGACTCACCGGAGCTGTCGGTACCTAGCACTCACCAGATCACACTCACACAAACTGTGCTGACAGTGTTTCATTTTTTTTTTGTCTCAGCTTTCCCTTCCTCTCCCATAGGAGGATGGACTGTGGATAGCTGGGAGAAAGAAGACAAAATTATGAAAGACGAGTTTTTGTTGGAAAAATTACAGACGATTAAAAAAAAGCTTGGTAATCTAGACCCTATAGGGTAAGGCGAGAAACGTGTTAAATTACTTTTCCTTTAACTTTGCCTCGAGATGGGTCGGCTTGACTTCTGACTAAGCCACATGGTTGAAACGGCAACGTTCATAATTGCAAGGAGATAATTTTGGGAACTGATATTTTCTGATGTTTTAAGCGAGTGGTTATGTCGAACTATAGGCAAATTTGAATTGTTCATAGAGGGACGGTACAAGTCTACAATGTCTCATTGGGCATGTCAGGAAAATACTTGTGTGACAATGCATGCCAAATCGATTAAAGATCAATGCTTTTCATTAGCGGTCTACACGCCGCCGGCTGTCTATGAGCGATGGCGTGAAGGCGTATCTGATGGGGGAAGTCTCCACCATGATTCATGACTGATTAATTAGTCAACACGCGACTCCGGCCCTGACAGTCGCGGCCGGCCAGGCTGCAAGGGGCTGGAGGCTCACTGTAGCGGTTGGGAGGGGCTGGGGTGGGGGGAGGGGGTTTGCAATACGCCAGTGGCTGTTTGTTCCGCGACGGTGGTGGCTCATGGGGGCCAGCCAACTTTTGCACGTCCCATGAATCATGTCTCTGATGTGACTCAGCTGTGGGGCCATTGACCTTTGACTTGAGTGATGTGGTGAAGACGATTGTCTAGGCCAGAATATGATTTTATTCGGCAGATCCATTTTCCGTGTCAAAAGCAAGTGGCCTGTGATACGTTCTAGGAGATGGATGGCATAAGATTGATGAATTGTCATAAGCGATAGCCATTTAGTGATATAAATCGTATATTTCGCCAGCTGCACTATGAAAAAGCGTGCACTTTCATTAGCAATTCCATGGAAATTGCTCAGTCTCGTAGATTTAAGACAAACTCTGCAAACACTACGAAAATGCGTACAAATTGAAACTTGTTTCAACACTGTTTGCTAAACTTGTGCTACAATTTTAAACAACTTTACGGCGCTTAAGCATGCAATTTTCACGGGGTTAATCAGACTAAGTCTCAGGTATTTGTAACCAGGTAAGTTGAAACAGCTCATAAAACAGACTAGCTCACTGGATCTTCAGGATTTACCGCTCTTCTTGAGCAATTAGTTGACCTGCAGCCCAAACAAAGGCTGACTTTAAAATGAGTGGAGCTTGACATTATACAGAAGATGAGCGTTTCAAGTGTGGCTGGACGGAGCCGAATGCTCGAAATAAAGTTGGTAATAATGGTAACAATTGTGATACGATATTACGATACTGCTGTTCGTGAATCGGGACCTAACAATCATGCTGTGCATAGGTATAATTTAATATTTCCTTACCGCACAAACTGAGTGAAGAATCAAATATGTAGGTACAGCTCTCACGGTATTTAGTGGTTGGTCAGTGAATGTGTTTTAGAAAAAAAACTTCGATTGATACAGACAATTCCGTAAATTGATTCAATAGCAATAAAAAGAGATTTTGCGCGGAAACTTCGGCGATGGTTGTCGACGGCCGCTAGACGTATTTATCAATAATCGATTACTCGAGGGCAGCGCTTTTCGCTGTGGCCCGAAGGTTTGGACTTTGAATTGTGAAAAACGCCCGCCCGCCGCAAAACGCAAACACCACAAAACGCGCAAAACGCACGTCCGAAACGCCAACGCAAACGTCGCAAAAAATAAACAAACGCCCGCCCGCCGCAAACCACAAATAAAAAAACGCAAAAACGCCGCAAAACAATAAAACCGCCCGCATCGCACGCCCGCTAACCGCCAAACGAAAACGCCAAAAATCGCCCGCCCGCCGCCAAAAGCAAACACCGCAAAAAAAACGAAAAAGCGGCCGCCAACCGCAAAAAATTTTAACACCGCAAACGACGTAATCGATTATTGTGGCTAATGTTGGCAACCAGCCACTTTATGCCGTAAGAGCTGAACATGCTTCTTTTTTATTGTGTCTGCACTGCGTCGGGGCAGGCTGGCTAACATGATCTCGTCTAGCCTTTTTTTGGGATATCCCACTGTTTCCAATCTGACCACTTCGGGTCGCGAATAAAATGGGCACTAAGAGAATGCGTCTCACTAAGACACATTTACACTTCTTTGCACAGGTAGTCACGAAGAATGGACTCAAACTGACCCGCCACACTCTTTCTCTGTCGCGGATCTATACCATTTTCTGGTGTCTACGGACCGACTTTGGTTCCTGTCCGACCCTTTCATTGAAAATGCTCTGGACGTGGCCGGCTGGTGTGAGGCTGAGTCTGTCCAGGTTCAGAGCCGGCTCCGGCCAGGCTGGCACGAGATAGACGGCTTGTATATTTGCTCTCTACTGGCAGGTGGAACAGATCCAAGAGGCGTTCAGCACTGGAGAGGAGGCGCAGGTTGAGACGCTGCTCTATAAAAAGGACGGTGAGTGCCCGGAACGACGACCGGGGGCGGAACAGGGGAACGGAAGGGGAGGGGAAATGGGAAGGAAGGGGTGTAGGAGGAGGAAAACGACAGAGGGAAACGACAAGGAATGTGCGAAGCATAGTATGTGAAGAATATTTCAATGATCGTGTGTTTAACGCATTGCTATTACCATTATTAGTCATTACGTACCATAATCTGCTCGAATGGATTACGTCGTGGTTGAAATCAATTATTGACAGCGAGATCCTAATGACTACTGATTGTAGAGGATCTCGTTAGAGGAAGATTTTACGTTGGAGGGGGAAGGGTATAATTGTGGTGTTAAGACTTCACTTTGATTTGACTCATGATATTGCTGGGCTCAAACAGCAGTGACACTTCAAATTATTTCGTTTTCACCGAGTAAAATCTTTTCATTTATACCCACGTCTCTCAGCTCACCGTATCACCCCACATCGACTCTGTCAAGCACGCTGACGAGAGTACACACTCGCGCGCCCAATGCCTACTGAATCTGTCACCTCTCTCCCTACCCGACCCTCTCTGTGCGGTGCCTCACGGACACTGCCCTTCCCTCCCTATGATCGATCAACGTAACGCAGTCGCGCTGTATTATGTATATCGTTGCGTGTGTGTGTGTGTGTGTGGGGGGGGGGGGCTCGACCTTGTTACGGGACGGTCAGTCCGGCCGTTTCCGGTTTCCTGTGACACGTCTTGCTAATGCTGCGAGGTCAGCGGTAGGTGGGGAGTGGGGTTGGGGAGGAACAGGGTGGGTGGCTGACAAAATAAGGGGGTGGGTGACGACAGACAAGGGGCTCAAGAGGGAGTGCGATATTTGTAAGGCACTTGTTGGGGATTGGGTGGGTAAGTTGGTAAATTTTACGCGCATTTATTGGTGACAATTTAAAAACAACAAGAGTGGATATCAAAGATGTCTGTTTATGTTTATAAACATAAGAAATACTCGTGAAACAGGTCGGTCAGTGGCAGATTATTTGCTTTTTAGTCCAAACAGGAGTCGATAGGTGGATGGTCATGGAGGAGCTATTTACGAGGGCGACTGTCACCGGATCTGAAAATCAAGGACGTCCTAAGTCGCAGTCGGACATTGCAATGTGCCTCCTTCTGACAGAGCCCGATTGCATCGCATCTTCATTGTGCTGAATAATTCAACACGGGTTTGCGTGATAGGTTAAGCGCATGGAAAGGGACATGTGTGTGTAGTCGTATTCGGCGCTTCAGCCTTCAATACACTGTTTAAGTCAACTGATATATCTGCCAAACTAACAAAATAATCAGTTGCCCAATTCACTTTCATCATATACCAGTAAAACGCCTTTTGGGCGAAGAACGAGCGAGCGAGATAGTGAGCCCTGCACGTGCGGAAGGGCGAGAGGGTACTTCCAACGGGCTTGCGCAAAGCACCCTTCTAACCGATCTCTAGCGGTGTACCAAATTTGAACGCAATCGGCCCAGCCGTTCCTGAGATCTGGAAGCGGCATTCTGCACGTGCGCACGTGCAAACGGCGTCCAAACTGACTTTTGCACGGCACCCTACTAACTGGTCCCCAACCGTGTACCAAATTTGAGCGCAATTGGCCCAGCCGTTCTCGAGATCTGGAAGCGCCCCCTGCACGTGCGCACGTGCAGTAGCACCTTAACCGCAACACATGGGAATGCATTGTCTGGTGGGTGCCTACCTGTATGCCAAGTTTCAGCGAAATCGCCCCAGTAATTACCGAGTTATTAAAATGGGAACAAATTTGACACCTCTTATTGTTGTATTTTGCACGTGCACTGGGGGTGACCCACATGCATCGAGAGTATCCTATTTTTGGTAGAAGGGATGATGCTACCCTACAAAAATTACCGCAAGCCAATCGCCCAAGCGGCTGCTGAGATATGAGCCTCTCAAAATCACTACTTTTGCAAAACAGCTTGAACACCCTTGACTTTTCACGTGGCACGTGCCACGACGGTCACTGAGATGTATCAAAAGTAGTCAATTACGGGGTAGAAGGGATGGGGCTACCCAACAAAAAAGATCGCAGGCCAATCGGTCCAGCGGTTGCTGAGATATAAGCCTCTCAAAAGCGTTACAGGCCGGGCCGGGCCGGGCCGGGCCGCTCATACTGAGATTTTTCCGTTATATTGAAAAGACTCACTTCGCTCGCTGCGCTCGCTCGCTCGTAACCAGTAAAACGCCTTTTGGGCGAAGAACGAGCGAGCGAGATAGTGAGCCCTGCACGTGCGGAAGGGCGAGAGGGTACTTCCAACGGGCTTGCGCAAAGCACCCTTCTAACCGATCTCTAGCGGTGTACCAAATTTGAACGCAATCGGCCCAGCCGTTCCTGAGATCTGGAAGCGGCATTCTGCACGTGCGCACGTGCAAACGGCGTCCAAACTGACTTTTGCACGGCACCCTACTAACTGGTCCCCAACCGTGTACCAAATTTGAGCGCAATTGGCCCAGCCGTTCTCGAGATCTGGAAGCGCCCCCTGCACGTGCGCACGTGCAGTAGCACCTTAACCGCAACACATGGGAATGCATTGTCTGGTGGGTGCCTACCTGTATGCCAAGTTTCAGCGAAATCGCCCCAGTAATTACCGAGTTATTAAAATGGGAACAAATTTGACACCTCTTATTGTTGTATTTTGCACGTGCACTGGGGGTGACCCACATGCATCGAGAGTATCCTATTTTTGGTAGAAGGGATGATGCTACCCTACAAAAATTACCGCAAGCCAATCGCCCAAGCGGCTGCTGAGATATGAGCCTCTCAAAATCACTACTTTTGCAAAACAGCTTGAACACCCTTGACTTTTCACGTGGCACGTGCCACGACGGTCACTGAGATGTGTCAAAAGTAGTCAATTACGGGGTAGAAGGGATGGGGCTACCCAACAAAAAAGATCGCAGGCCAATCGGTCCAGCGGTTGCTGAGATATAAGCCTCTCAAAAGCGTTACAGGCCGGGCCGGGCCGGGCCGGGCCGCTCATACTGAGATTTTTCCGTTATATTGAAAAGACTCACTTCGCTCGCTGCGCTCGCTCGCTCGTAATCATACCATTACATCTATATCATTCCTAATCATTCATGTTATTACGGAGCGAGCGAAGCGAGCGGAGTCTTTCCTTAGATTAGCGGAAATTTCTGAGTATGAGCGGCCGGCCGGCCGGCCGTGCGGACGCTTTTGCGAGGCTTATATCTCAGCAACCACTTGACCGATTTACACGCGGTAATTTTTGTTGGGTTACTTCATTCCTTCCACCAAGTATTGGACTATTCCCGATGCATGTGGGACGGGTGACCCCTTATGCACGTGCCACGTGCAAAACGAAGAGGTGTCAGTTTTGCAATTGTTGCAATATTTCGGTAACTACTTGGCCGATTGCGCTTAAAGTTGGCATGTAGGTAGGCACCCACTAGGCGCTGCATATCCATGTGCCAGAGTTGGGGTGCTGCTGCACGTGCGCACGTGCAGGGGTCGTTTCCAGATCTCGAGATCGGCTGGACCGATGGCGCTCAAATTTGGTACACGGTTTGGGACCGGTTAGTAGGGTGCCGTGCAAAAGTCAGTCGGGACCCATTTTGCACGTGCGCACGTGCAGGGTGCCGCTTCCAGATCTCGAGAACGGCTGGGCCGATTGTGCTAAAATTTGGCACATCGCTAGAGACCGGTTAGTAGGGTGCCGTGCACAAGTCATTTGGAGGTACCCCCTCGCAATTTCGCACGTGCAAGGCCCGCTCTCTCGCTCGCTCCGTTAGTCGCCCCAAAAGGCGTTATACTGGTCAAATATGCATTCTGAGTTAAGTCGAACACCAGGGCCCAATCTTATAAAGGTTGTGCTACCAAATGCCGTACTATCATTCCACCCCACTCTATTTACGGCACCCTATTCACGCAATCTTATAAAGAGAATAGTATGGTAATTCTATTCACGCCATTTTGCCCACAGTACAAATCAACGCCAGCAGGAAACACGCAACGTGATTGGTCAATGTCTTGTCGCCGTCGCTACTGGAAATTATGCGTACTGTTTGCGAACAGCAAAAGTTATGTGTTTTAATTTTAATGGGGCATTTATTTCTTTTAGAGACACACATATGATATGTGTAATAAATAAATTATTTATGGAAAACGTGATAGCAAACTATGGAAAACACCAACATGCTTGAAGAATTCTCCTGAAAAGTGGATTGCCGACCAAATAAATTTCAGCGAGGGCATTCTCGCGCTCAGAAATTCGAGTGAATAAAGTGTTTCTTCTACTAATCATTTGCATTTATTTGCTGTTAAGGCATTGCAATAAATTTGTTAAAGAATTATTTAAATAGTCATTTAATTATAGCTCGGCTACTGTTTCAGTAATTTAAGTAATGCCGTTGACAATGAAGCTCCTACAATTTGAGCATCAAGATACGTACATTAACTGGATTAATTCAAGATATAGCTTATTTTCCTTCTTGTCATAAGCTTTTGACATTTTCCTTCTTGAAGATAAACTACTAAAATTCGAAGACTACGTACATGAACTGAATTAGGTCAAGTTACAGCTTATTTTCCTTCTTATTCAAGCATAGGTACCTGTTACCTAACCTAAAGCTAAAAAGCAATTCCTCAAAAGATTGAAGAACCCAGTCTACATATCAAAGCATATCAAGAAAAATACTCGGCTCAGAAGTCAGATCGAGATGCAGGAAGAGAAACAACACATTGATCCGTAACTGTGCCAGACAGAAAGTGGGGAGATACGAATAGTGAGTAGGAATTAACTTTTTTTTGACAAACTAATTTATATCATCATTAATTTAGATATCTAATCAGAAGCCATGAAGTGCCCGTTATTTGTGTCATACGTGAGACGTGAGAATAGGCTAAAGACCCATACCGATTCTATAATGCAGTGGCTGCCGAAAATCTATGATGGTTACTGGCGCTAAAATCCTATCAAAAATCCCCTTTTAATTTGAAAAATAAATCCATATAACGATG